TGCAGCAGTCCTCCCACGTACGTGCTGGCAGGCCCTCCTGCGGCCTTTGTGACAGTTCTCCACAGTACAGCATTTTGATAGTCCTCCACAGTACAGCATTTTGATAGTCCTCCACAGTACAGTATTTTGATATCCTCCACAGTACAGTACTTTGTGACAGTCCTCCACAGTACAGTACTTTGTGACAGTCCTCCACAGTACAGTACTTTGCGACAGTCCTCTACTGTACAGTTCTTTGTGACAATACTCTACAGTACAGTACTTTGTGACAGTCCTCTACAGCACAGTACTTTGTGACAGTCCTTCACAGTACAGTGCTTTGTGACCATACTCTACAGTACAGAACTTTATGGCAGTCCTCTACAGTACAGTACTTTATGGCAGTCCTCCACAGTACAGAACTTTATGACAGTTCTCCACAGAACAGAACTTTATGACAGTCCTCCACAGTACAGTACTTTATGACAGTCCTCTACAGTACAGAACTTCATGACAGTCCTCTACAGTTTAGAATTTTGTGATAGTCCTCTGCAGTACAGTACTCTGACACTGTCTACCACAGTACATTTTGTGACTTAGTTTAGCATAATAAACTTAACTAATCCACCAGAATACAAGCACTTCTTTCTCTTCCTTCATCCAGCATGGTGACAATGCCAGCAATATACAAAGAAAACAGTAAATAACCCAAATGAACTTGTAATTAGAGAGAGTTCTTATATTTACTCTTGTCTCCATCACAGGTATGAATGGAGGTCTTACTATAAATGGTTTACCTTCTTTACTTACCATCACATGGAGAGGCAGATGTTGTTACTGGACAGCCACACCTCTTGGCATCTCCCACACAACACTTACACAGTTCTCCTTATATACTTTGGTCATGAATCACCTTCTCAAAGAATAAATAATTATATTAACATTCCAAACTTATCATCTACCTAGTACCTGTATCTTCACCATCTTATTCTCTTTAGGACTTGAGGTAGCAGCTGCTTGTATTGTAAACTATTGCCCAAATAATTCATTCACTGAGCTGTGTGTATGTTTGGTGTTGTCACAAGTGAATTACTGACCAGGTGTTAACAATATCATGATAAACCTTCCAACCACAACAATGAAGTTTATCCTTTATGTACGACCTGACTGCATCCAGCTGGGTCAATCGCCAGTAACAATACCAATTCACTTTGACTAAATGACTGATGGAATTTCCTGACCAGCTGGCACTCTTCATCCAGTTCAGTTACAATTTAACTTTGACTCTGAATAAAGACTTTTGACTCTAGGTAGACATTTAACTTTTGTTAGGCATTTGTCTCTTGGTTGACTTTCAGCAAAATTCAGACTCTTTTATGAAGTCTGTTATACTTCTTCCATCACACACAGTTGGAGGAGAGATGTAAATATAGGCCATAAGTAGACTAACTCTTCCCTCTCTCTATCTACAATTGCAATAAACTGTTTACATCTACAAAAGTGAGTGATCTAAAATATAAGTTTACTGCCAAAGAAAAAGGCAGAATGTTTTTCAATATGGTCCATAATGTCACAATGTCAATCTTATTAGGACAGTCATTTGTTACTTCCTGTGAGTAGTCCCTGTGGACAGTTACCTGAAGTTCTTGTTCCTTCAGTGTTAAACAAAGACTATGATTAAATACTGTAGTAGAACCTCGATAAATTGGACTAATTGGGACAGACCCCAGTCCAAAAAATGCAAAAGTCCAAAAAAATCAAATATATATGGGGGGTGTGGAGATGACACTGCTTATCCAAAATGTTTAAAGAAAATCAGTTGTTATAATGTTATTGCTACACTTCAATAACTAAGGTCTTTAAGTGTATAACAAGGTTATTAAGAGAATATCACATCAGCAATATAAAAATATGAAATGGAACTCTCTAGGTTGAAAGTTATACTTAAGTCTGGTTGCCAACAACTGTTTTCACTGAAATGATTACAGTACTATGTAAGTTACCACAAAATTTGTTTTATAAATAAAGATAAATCTGTATACTGTACAGAACTATAAAGATAAAAATTAAAACAAATAAGTGTAGGAGTATATTGTATGTGGCAGATGAGTGATCTGATAGTACCCGTGGGTAGCTCCCTCCCCCAAATCCTGCTTAACGCGTCTTTATGCAATTTCACCATAATTCTCCTATCATTTAGGTTCATTTGGTTTCAGGTTGATAAAATATCAACATAAAAGAATCAACTTTCCAGAAAAAAGAATCTCACACTCAACACCATGAATCATTTATTTACAAAGGATAAACAGCTGATCGGCTTAGCTCCTTCACCATTCATGATTACTGCAACGTCTGTCTTCAACACTTAATAAATTAGTACAGTACAGAACTGTCAAGTATTTACAGTAAGTACTTGTATAAAGTCGTCCCGTTTAACTTTGTTTCGGTACTAAGTCGACCCTCGTTAATTCAGACCCCTTTAATCCGGATTTCGGATAAATCGGACGAAATCTGAACTGTCCTTATCAAATTTCTGGTTCTGGGATTGTCCCAGTTGCAATTGGGGTTGCAATTTCAAATTCTGTGTCACTACTAAGGATTAATGAAGTCTCTGGTGCACTCTAAGATTAAGAGAAAACGGACGACTCAGGCGTCCTGAAGTGAGAGAAAATGGACTCCTATGACGGGGCACTCAAATAAAGAGACATGGCTACACGTTTTGTGGACTACCCACTGTACAGTATCCTTTTCATCACTTTGTAATAAACCTCGTCATGCCTATGTGTGTTTCTGATAATTACCATAACATTATATATCTATATATTTAGCAGTTGTACAAACACAAGGCCTCACACATGCCACTCAAACTGACAGACTTGACAAGCTTTACCAACCATAAAGACTGTTGAAGCTTTAAACATCACTCACAATGGATCTTGAATATTCCAACTGTAATCAGACATACCTAAGTTGGCTCAACAATTGCAACCCCAGTTGCAATATCAAATTATGTGTCATTACTAAGGAATAACGAAGTCTCTGGTGCACTGCACTCCAAGATTAAGAGAAAACGGAGGACTCAGGCGTCCTGAAATGAGAGAAAACGGACTCCTATGACGGGGCACTCAAATAAACATACACATAGCTGTATATTGCAATGTTAACCCCTAAATCAGTTAATTCGGACAATCGGCTAAAACGGACACCCTTCCTTCCCTATTAGTCCGTTTTAACGAGGGTCGACTGTACGTCGGTAAACTTTAGAGACCATAAAATTTATTTAACGTCCCAGTGATCCAATACTAAGTCGTTTTGTGTCGTCACACACTACATTTTACAGTGCATCACCCGCTCTCGTCTGGCAGCGCTACGCTCTCTTGGCTTGGCGCAGAGTCTCAGTGACTCAACACCCTCCTCCTCCTCCGCTCCCACCATACGCCTCCTCTGCTTCACTACCCACCACACACTCGCTCTACCACCTCCCCCCATCACTGAGTACCAATACAAACTTAGCAGTTGTATATGTGTGCATTATTTTCTATAGAAATGGCAATGATTTTCTGTATATGTAATGTATTTCATGGGTCAAAGGGAGGCTCAGGAACGTAACTCCCGTATTTATATATTTCTTATGGGGAAAATTGATCCGCTTAACGTTGTTTCGTATAACGTCGCATTTTTATAAATGTAACCCCGACGTTAAGCGAGGACATACTGTTTTAACATTTTATAAGTAATATTGTAATGCACAATATTATTCATCTGCAAATACCCTGGTTTATTCATTAATCATTTGTCTAAGTGTACAAGTAACCAAACAGAGTTATCATATAACACTCGAAGGCAGGAAATAACGTTATTAGAAGGTATCTTCATATAAAATACTATACAGTGTGTTATAGTGACACCTGTTGTAAGCTGGTCCACTGAAAGCTCACACAAGAACGCATCTTGAGTGAACAACCTTCTGATACAGCTTTTCCTTTTATTTTCAAATCAAATTACAAATTACATAGTGTATTTTTTTTCTGTTATTGAAGATGTTATATTAATCATGATGGATCATAAACCATAAGAGGCTGGTCATACAAGAATATAATACCGACCAATAAATAAATCTAATGAATTTAGCAATGCCTAATCAACCCCCTTCCCCCGCAACCTCTTTACATACTCGGTGTTTTAGCTCGCTAGGCCTCCAGTAAATCTGATTAGGCCACTGTACAGTATTCAGAGACCAAGTGTTGTTCTTTTGATAAGATTTTCTTTGTTTTAATTTTACCCATTTCTTATAATATGTACTTACATAATTTTAACACATTTCTTAAACCCTCTAGTATCCCCGATAAAGATATTACACATTCTACAAAAAAATTTTCACGTAAATGAGTGTAGGTAGTGAGGTGCGGCACACTGATACTATACATATGAAGGCAGGACTCAGAACCGAGGCCGAGAGTCTTGAGACAGTGAGACGCGTGCCACACGACACCCACGCACGGACGTTCAACTGCGCGTACGGAAAAAGTGAATTCCAACATACGGCATTGAAGTCCAATTTATCGAGGTTTTACCGTACTTCTCTCCGCCAGTATCAAGTATCACTGGGATTAGTTACAGTTATCAATTATTATCACTACATCTTTTTCACAATGTTATTTCTGGTCAATTTTGTGGTTGGTTGCCTTTACCATGTTACTCTGCAAGTTAGGTGGAGAGCCTGAGTGATACAGCACTCGCCTCCTGTCCTAAGGGTCACTGGTTTGATTCCCGGGTACTCCCAGTCCATCCAGCTATGAATAGGTATGTAACTTTACAGCTGGAGAAGTGAAAGCAGTCAAGTGCAGTGCCGTCCATGTTGCCTCTTTGCATATTGAAGGCTTAGTATAGAGTGAGCTGTATCCACACTCCCTAACATGCAGTCATACCTTTGGGTGGACCTACAGTACCTTCACTTTTCATTAGTAAATATTTTTAGCTGATCTTTTATAAAAAATTCTGGCTAAGGCACAAAACTTTGCTACCTTCACATATTTTATTAAATGTTGAACAAGCAAAAGTAGCTAATTTAATCATAAAAAAAATATATATTAATTGGAAAATTGCCCACAATATCTATCAATATCAAAGTTGCAGAGAACCTTCTAGGGAAATTTCTCTGAAGGTGCAGTCATATCTTGAGCCTACACTGTTTAACATGATTCACTACACTCTTACACCACTCCCTATATCCTTACCACACCTTTATTCTCTTCAGGGTGATGGCTGCCTTCCTCTCACTCACTTCCTCCAGAGTGATGGCTTCCTTCCTCTCACTCTCTTCCTCCAGAGTGATGGCTTCCTTCCTCTCACTCTCTTCCTCCAGAGTGATGGCTGCCTTCCTCTCACTCTCTTCCTCTAGGGTGATGGCTGTCTTCCTCTCACTCTCTTCCTCCAGGGTGATGGCTGCCTTCCTCTCACTCTCTCCCTCCTCTTTCTTATACACTCACTTACAGTCTTCAACACCTCCAGACTTTTGGTTATTAACCTGTTCACAGTCTTAGTTTCCCATTAAAACAACTTGTTACAGTTTGTTCAAAAAGAGAAAAGAATCACAAATGTGTACTTTAAACTAAGCAAGAGTTCTCAAGACAACTTTTGTCAAGGCAATTATTACAATCAACTACACTAAGTCATATTCTACAAAATGTATACATAAATGCTCACAACGATGCACTTATCATCATTGGGTCCAGGTACTAAATTTTTGTTTTGTTTTCTACGTGCAGTTTCAGGAACGATCATTTTGTGCACAGGTGCATGAAGAACATCTGTTGTCACATCACTACTGACATCTGAGGCATTCTTTAATGTTCTTATATATCTTTGTTTTTTATGTAGGTAATTATTTTTTTTCCATTTTGAACCATCTTTATTCTTTCATATCATTACCAACAAATATTAGTTCTTATATAATACTATCTGTCTCTCCTCTTCCTTCACACTATTAGCTACATCTGTTTCTTCCTCTCACACATACTAACCTTCTGTCACAAACTATTTCTTTCTGTGATATCATCATCTATATCTGCTTTCTCCTCTCGCCTTACAGGAACTGATACGTTAAGTTTACAAGTGTTGCTCTCACCATGTAGAGACACTTATGCTAACCAACAAATCCTTACTATTTTCATTCTCCTAAAAAATATTTCACTGGCACTATAAACCCGCCGAGTTATGATCACATCTGGTGAAGAAATGACAGTCCACAGCTTCAGTTTTGGTTTAGTCTTCCACTCAAACGCTGTGGATGCCACTGGGAACTGACCCAGTTACACACGTGAAGACGGAATGCATTTTTCCTCCTAACCTGGGGAGATCCAACCTGCCAGTGATGCTCTGAGATGTAAGAGTTCAGACAAATCTCTGTGTGTGACCCGAAAGGGCAACCCGAGGTCACGGGTGGTGACCCGAGGTAACATAATGTCACACGTATCTGTCAAGGTGCTGTTGGAAGTTAGTGAGGTAGATGACGAGCTCATCAACTGTGGGTCGCTCACGTGGGGCCGTTGTCCAACAAAATGTCATCGCTTTGAACCTGAAAATATTAAAATTTTTAATTTATTTTAATAACATCTATGATATAACACTCCTGAGTACAGGAATGTTGATGTACAGTCCCCCCCCCCAAAAAAAAAAATGCTTTAATATGATCCCCAGTGCATCATCATAAGTTGGTATGTCTGCTGGCCATATACAACAGCTAGAGATCGGGGGTAGGATTGGAGGAGGGAGTCGGCCTTATATGGCATACTGTAGCGCGTTTTTCCCCAGCTGAGAAAAGATGCCCCCCCCCCCTTCAAGAGTTACAGTTGATTGGCTGTTGCAAACCTGTCCAATTTTGTCCTGAGTAATAATGTATTTCTAAACGAGTTTATTCATAATCGTTGGGATGACCGTTTCTGACGAGAAAGATATTTAGCTAAATTATATAAAGATACATACATTCATTATTTCAAACATAAGCACGTATGAAGTTTATCAGAAGTATTATACGTGAATTAACTGATAAACTCGGGTAGCAAATTCACGCTTTCGGAGGATGCATTTCATATACTGTACTGTATACATATTTTTACCTACAATAAGACATACTAAGACAAATTACATATCAGTAATAGCACATTATGCAAAAACAACATTTTACTAGATCAGAATTACATTGAAATATTACACAGCCATCAGCAGAGGCGGGAAATATGACAGCGAACTGCTCATTCATGCTTAAAGGCTGCGGAAATGGAAATACCAACCGTTCGGAAACAGGTCAAATAACATTGCCTAGAAAGCATCGACCCCATGGTTATCGATACTTTTGGGGGGACTGTACATACAGCCTACAACTCCAGGGTCTACCACAGTTACAGGAATATCTCGCCATCCGCAACCCCACTTATCCGCAACTGATATTTTAACACACTTATTTGATATTCACAAAGCATACCCCCCTTATAAACAAGTGAAAAATTACAAAACCCTATAGTAATATTTCAAACTGGGCGTGCTACCCGCAGCTCTCATGTAAGGTCCGCTTCATACAATTTTTTTTTTCTGTGCGGTTTAGAAATTAATGAGGTTCAATGGGACCATTCACACAGAGCACGTGTGAATATTCATGAGCAAGAAAACTCACATGTGGGAGATGCTCACTCCACGCCTGTACCTGTATACTGTACTTTCAAACTGCAGTGTGAAAAAATACACCAAGTGTTCTAGAATTCTTCACATGGCAAATGTACCATATATGGCGGCATATAAGTCGACCTTTGAAACCAAATTTTTAGTGTCCAAAGTTAGGGGGTCGACTTATACGATGGGTATAAAATGGTGAACTCTAAAATCAAGACCGTAAGTGAGAGTATTACAACCTTCATATTTACCTATAATATAATTGATCTATTTCTATTATGGATGAAATAAAGTTTTTCTCAGTGGCTGTATGTGGACTGTGGTGGAATGAGCAGGAAGTTCAGTGATGTCGTGATTGTTGGGTCAGTCACTAATGACGTTGTGCGTGACGTCATTTATAGAGTGGCTTGTTTACCTGTTTTGATGGTTGACTTGGTCCTTCACAACACTTGACAGCTGCTGGAGTTGGGGAGTCGACTTAAACGGTAGGTTGGGGGTTGACTTATACTCCTCCATATACGGTAAATGATAATTTAAATGTTTACACTCATTTACTAATGTCATGCATAGGTGTGTGTGTGTGTGTGTGTGTGTGGAGACTTGGCAGGTTATATTATCCCTGTAGCTACATCTCTCTAGCTCTCCTACTACAAGGCAAAGCTGTGTTATTGTTATTTTTCAACTCGAAATTGTGAGTAGATATACCATATATTGCAGCCTATAAGTCCACCTTTGAGTCTCCACACTTTCTGTCCAAAACTTGGGGTCATCTTATACAACAGGTATAAAATGTCAACCACTAAGTACACTCCACCACTAGCCTCACTTTACCTCATGGTAGGTTTCAGTCACTTAATTTTCGGCACTCACAAACAAGTTTAACCTAACTGTAGCATTTATCCAGAAGGATGACTGTTACTGAACTCATCCTCAGGTCAGTGTTTACACCAGTCATATTATGGGAGTCCCTACACTTACCGGCACCTTTAAAAACATTTAAATATCTTTCAGTGTTAACTATGGCTTCTTACAAACAAACATTACTAGAGCAGTTACTTTTAATATTTGTTGTTTAAAAATGCAGTTACTGTATATTCATATAATGCTCCTGGATTTTGTAAAGGTTTACATGAATGTGGTGTAAAGTTGTAAACAAGGCAGGTGCCTGGGAACAGCTGGCTGGTCTGTGGCAGCTCAGCTAGTGTTGCCAGCACTTGGTAGTGAATGTCACTAGATTCATCCCTAAAGTTGTTATAAAGTCGCTAAATACATAAATAAATCTGGAGAAATGCCGGTACATCTAACACATTATCTAAAAAGGGAATAATTGGTAACAAAGACTTGGCTAAATGCCAAAAACTGTCACAAGTGGCATTAAAGGTAGACAGTGAAAACAACGCTAAACTGGCAACTATGAGGTCAGCAGATAAACAACCTCTCTCTCTCTCTCTCTCTCTGGTGTACAGTAGTCCTGGCATCCTACATGTATTTATTTAGATTATTACCTTATTATTATTATTATTATTATTATTATTATTATTATTATTATTATTATTATGCACAGTACTGCAAAGAGAATATTGTTTAGTTATAAATAAAATAATAATTTAATCATTTACCAGTACAGTACCAGAGTGCAGACTTGGTTCACTTGTTGCTGCATACAGCCAACACAGTGTACTTGTACTACCATTAATAATATAAAGTACAGTAAACTCTCATTTAACCGACCTATATAGGGGGAGGGGTGGGTCGGAAAGGCTCTCAGCTGTGTAAGTGACCAGCGCCGGCGCCATATTTGTTATTGATCGGTAGTTGATGCTCTTCCAACATTCTCTTAAAATCAAAGGCAGATGGGAGTTTTTGGAGGGTGGTCGGTCCCTAACCCCCTGAATTTGTTATAAGAACATAAGAACATAAAAAAATAAGGAGTCTGCAATAGGCCGGTTGGCCTGTGCATGGAAGCTCCTGTCGAGAGTTATTACCACTCTCTATCATCCATGAATCTATCTAGCCTCCTTTTAAAACTTATGTTCTTATGGGATTAATTGCTTCGATAGCCGTTGATTCACTATCCAACAACTTTTCCTGGTCCCTATATGAGTCAGTTATCAGGGTACACCTGTACAGTAAAAACCCTTGGCTGCAGCAACAAACCAAAAGAATGATCCAATGATGAGCTGTCACGACACATCAGAAGTTGCAAACCACTTAAATTCTTCTTATACTACAGTTGCCTCATCTTTAGTTGAAGAACTGCCGATAGCCTCAAACAATAATTACAGAGTGGAATCTAAAACTTTTAAATTCCACTACAGAAAGAAAGGTAACTATCACCCCAGATAACACTGAAATCCAAGCAGTGACAGAAGACTTTTTTTCAAGTTGTTAGATGAATTGGACCCTTACAAGGGCAGAGGTATTGATAGTACCCCAGTCAGTTTTTTGAAGGCCGGTGCCACTATATCAAAGACACCAATAACACACATAATTAATCTCTCTGTTACTACCATTACTGTACCAGATAAGTATAAATTTGCTAGAGTAACACCTACAGTATCTATAAGAAAAGGTGAGAGGTGTGATTTAGGTAATTACAGGCCAGTGAGTGTATTGAGAAAGCAGTGTATGTTCAGGAGGAAAGATATCTCTGGGAGTACTGTATATAATTAAATCATAGAATGTAGAGCTGCGGGAATAATCTACCAGCCTCAGATAGTCCATGAGCAATGTAATGCTTATTAGATTCTATCAATAAAACTTTCACTAATACAATACTCCTGTAGACATACCATTACTAATTAGAGACCTAGTGTAAGCCTAAGCAAAGGACCCTCCTGGAAATAAGCAGCTGACAGCTTTGTCAGCTATCCTTGGTTAAGTTACCTCACTGTTTATTATTACTGTTTACTTGCACTGTCATGACACACAGGAAATTGTAGTGTATACTTTCACGGCTTGTGTGCACCGTATACCTATACTGTCTATATTCATGCTGAACTGTAAAACTGCATAGTTTATAAATCTGTTTATTCAAATGTAAATCTGTATGACAACTATACTGAATAATTATTATTATTATTATTATTATTATTATTATTATTATACCTCGTCTGGCCTCCCCCCTTCTCAATGACTGCATGCAACCTATTTGGCAAAGAAGACACATGGTCACGAATAAATTCAGCCTTATGCCTGCAAATTTCCCACTGGGTGTGGAGATGTGGTTCCGGAGTTGATGGTTGGTCCTCTTGTCTGTCGGTTTCAAGGTGTAGTGACCTTCTGTCCAGGAAGGGTGCAACAGGCTATGCTCGCTCCACTGACAGTGTATCATGAAATTCTGAACAGAACTGTACATGGTACCGATGTCCTGAGCCTTGTTCATTATTTACTATGAAGATATCTATATTTCAAGTGAATTAACAAAAGAATTTCAAGTATTAACTAAAATTAAGTACAGTGGTCCCTCGATTAACGAACACAATTGGTTCCACAGAGTTGTTCGTTAATCGAATCTATTATTTCAATGGGTTATTGGGTAATTGGTTCCAACTCACAGAAAAAGTATACATACAAAGTACTGTATACCGGTAATAGAATTAACAAAACATTAAATATAAACTAAATACAGCACAGTACTGTACTGTACAGTATACTGTACAATAATAAATAAAAAACAATAGAATACTGTATTTTAACTTACTTTGAGGTGTGTATGTCGTATTCCCGGCAGCTTTGTTTACATATCAAACAGCTGATTGTAGGGGCAGTCGATGATGACATGCCATATTCTTTACAGAGTGCATTGGTTCTAATGCCTTCTTCGTGTTTCATAATAATTTCTGCACTGTATATTATCAATATTTTAACTAAATTTCAGAATGACCTATAATTTTAATGTAAAAATGCAAAAATATTCAAGAGACCAACAAACTGGATGTTCACTCCACTGTAAACAGTTAAACTGAGAAGCGTTGGTGGGTGATTCGATCAGCTGATTGGAGCACAAAACCTTTAATATTTATTGATTCTTTTGTCAAAATTTGGAATTCCACACACTAAATATGATAATGACAATGAATAATGCTAAAGTTTAACCTTCTCCAATTTTTATGTAAATTTTAAAATGGTATCTGGGAAGTGAATATGGTTTTACCCTCAATGTTCTGTTATAATAAATGATATTTCATGTACAGTATTATGGTATTTTTTGGTACCTGGAAAATGTGCAAACACTAGAGGTCACGAGCTGGGAGTTGGTATACATTTAGTAAACCAAGAATGTGTGAAATTCGAGAACTCAGAAGCCGTGAATATTAAGGATCTACCACTGTATTTCCCATCTTCCCTTCAACATTCTTATGCCTTTAATTTTACTAATCTATTCTACGTATTATTTGTAGTTTAGTTCTTGTATGATTTAATACTTACAATTCGTCAGGGCAGTTGATGGGTTGAGCAAGGCGGACACCCTGACGCAGGACAGCCGACATTTCAAAAGGGTCAATCTCTGCATACGGCTGCTGGCCAAGGGTCATCACCTCCCACAGCAGCACACCCCAAGACCACTGGCACAGAAAATAAAGATTTAATTACCTAAAACCAAGTTCAAATTTAAAAATACTGTACAGTATTACATAAAATACAATAATTCAAAGAAGATGATACACCAGACATTGTGAAGGCTGGAATTACAACCTCTCACACTACATCAACTCCCTCTTAAATTTCTATCTGAAGAAGTAATTATCATTAAGGATGCACCTGTACACCATAATAGGAAAGGACTTGTGTGTAAACAATTCCAGCTGTAACTCAAACTAATAATGACAGAATGATAACTACAGGACATATAATAAGTGTAAACCACTATTACCCAAAATTCCTGACACTGCCAACTAGACAGGCTTAGTGACATGAATGTCAAGATGTCTGTGAGGTACATCATAGATGCATGTCTGAATAGTGACATGCAGCTCAAATTCACTTGGAAGGGCTACCTGGTTTGGGAAAACAAAAACCAGTGAATGCAAAATTAGATTTAAGAACACTAAGATTTACTCCCAAATAACAAGCGAGTTATAGTTGGCTTCATGATATGTGGTTGCACTTATGTTTATGTGATTTTACATGATAACTATCCAGTGGCGTAGCTAGAGTGTGTGCCGCCCGGGGCGGCCCTTGAGTTTGCCGCCCCCCCCCGTGCCCCCACAAAAAATACATATTGCACAGTGACTCACTCTTATATATATATATATATATATATATATATATATATATATATTAAATAGTTTGTGTACCATTATAATATTACTGTACTTTCACATACTCAAATATAGTATGCTTTAAATACACACCAAACATACATAAACTTTATAAGTTTCCTTAATCCTCAACAGGTTACAGGTTGTGTGTGTGGCGGGGGGGTGGGGCGCATAGCAAGGGTGTAGCTCATGACGTGGCCGTGATGATGTGGGTCAGGTGTTAGGCCAGACACGACAAGGATTAACTTGCCGCCGATACAAAGGGATGGATTAACGTCTCCAGTAGCTGCAGATATGGGTGATGAGCAGACCCAAAAGTGCCGCCCCCCCAAAAGTGCCGCCCGGGGCGGACCGCCCCCCCCGCCTCCCCCTAGCTACGCTAGTGTAACTATCTAGGGTACGGGTATCCCCAATCTGTGATGTCCCTACCTACACTAATTAGCATTAACGATGCTGATATATTAAGACCACTCACCTATTTGTGTTGTAAACAAATCAGCATTAACGACATTCATCATCCCGCCATCTTGGAATACAGAACGAATCACTCACTTCATTTGTCAGCCGAGACATTATCTACCCGCACGATGTCAAATGGCCATCCGGTGAGCTACTGTCCAGCCATTGTTTCTTCTTGGTTACATGTGAGTAAGGAATGGAGCTCAATGTTCATCAGTCATCCTTTTTTTTTACCTTACAGTGAGAGGACGTCACTAAGGTTCACACTGTTCTCTGTTTAAGTGACTGTGAAGGGCTTTTGTTCTAATACTCCACCTTGACAAAGGGTGACATGACATTGCATCAGAAAGTCAGTAATACGAGACCACTAATCCCCCACTCTACCTCCACCTGACATTGCATCAGGTCAGGTCAGTCATATGACCCACTAAACCCCTACCACACCTCCATCCCAAGTGATTACAGTGTAGGCTACTCTAGGCTCAGGATGACAGCATCTGCTGGTGAGTAAAGTATAGTAGTAGTTTACATTATTTTGTTTCCAGTATTGTATGTGTACAGTAGTGCTTACTTAATTTAATACAGCTCCATGTGAGATGCATCATTTAAAATATATTTATTTAACCAAACTTTTAGAAAAACTATTCCGGATTATTATGGAAAAAAATGGTGTTTCTAACTTAATTAAAAGTGATTTTATAGACTCTGGTATCAACATTTCTTAAGTTTTCATACACAAATTAAGGCCCCATCATTATGTCTTGTCAAAATATTTTGTTTAAGGATAAGGATCTTTTATTGGAATTTTTTTTTAGAGAATGTATTCTGCATCATTATGGTATCAAATTCATCTCTCTAACAAATATAAAAAATGGTGTGAATAAAAGTTTATACTTTTTTGCTTGGGTTAGGAGGCGATGGAATGAGTGAGGGAGGGAGAGAGAGTGCATGTCACCGACTCCAGCCTGTCATTCATGATACAATATTGTTTACTTGTTATTTATTAATTGGTAAAAATACATTACTGTAATAATCTGTGTTTATTAATACCTGTATCCTTCATATACTATACTGTATATATGTCATTGGTAAAAAATGTCACCAGGAATGCATCTCCATAAATGCAATGGTACCAAATTCATATCTCTTAACACAATTAGAGCAGATGTTGTAAATAAAATTTATACATATTTTTGCTATCCATAAACATATGTGCTAGAAGCCTTGTGCCTCAAAAATACCTTAGCTTTCATCTTTATTCAAGACATGTCATCTACCCTCACTCGAGGAAGTGTCACGACAAATTAGCTCCTGGGAATACCAGGCAGTGCTACCATGTCTAGTGCTAGCTGGGAACAGCTCTGTGCCTCACTGAAGGCTGAGCTTGAGGTCAGGGGCGAAATGTGTGGCTCAAGGAAATGATTGCCAAGCTGAAGGAGGAAGATGCGAGACAGAGAGAGTCTGTGTCCGACGACAACACAGACCAGTGGAGGGTAGTGAAGAGAGGGGCGACAAGACTGGTCATGATTAAGGTCAATAAAGCAGCTAAGTGTAATAACTCTTTTAGTCCTTTGGAGGATGAAATGGATGGGAAGAAAGTTAAGGACAATGCTGACAAGGAAGGTAGGAAAACCTTTATTGTTGGTGATTACCTAACCTGTAATAAAGACAGAAATAGGATGGTGTGTGTTTGCCAGGAACTGGGGTGGGTGATATACAAGACAGGATGGACAATATCTTGTCTGGTAATGGGAACAAACCCATTATCAGCCTCAGTGCAGGAGGCAATGATATTGGCTGGTGCAGGAGTGAGGAGCTCTTTGTGGTGTCCTGCCTAGAAGGAGAGTTGGCAATGAATGGTTAAGGGCAGTTGGTGTCAACGGCCGTCTTGACAGATATTGCAAGTCAATATTAGTCTCATTCATTGACAACTGGGATAACTTCTATGGTAGAAGGGATTTATGCCAGGGATGGGTCCATTTCAGGGACGGGGTGGATACCTTGGATGGCTCTCGAGACGGCAGTCAGATATAAAGTCTTGAAACTGCTAAGGAACATGAGAGCAAGGAGGTTGGGGGACTGCAGTGGGCACAGGATACACAATGAAAGACTATATTAGTCAGATAGGTAAAACCAAAACACGACAAAGAGAGGACTTAGTTCACGACTAACAGTGTCAACTGCACAAACAGTAGATGTATGAGAAAGAAAATGGATGAAATCAGAGCCTTCGTGCGTACAGAAAAAATCGATATACAGTAAAACCTCGATTGACCGACCCTCGATTAACCGACTTTCGGATTAACCGCCGATCCGTACCCCTAAATATTTTTTTTTACGGGGATTAGCCCAACGGGCACAGGTCACTGACCCACATTGGGGCCTGGGGGCGAAAATGTAATAATAATGATAATACAGTCGACCCTCGTTAATTCGGACCCCTTTAATCCGGATTTCGGATAATCGGACAAAATCTGAACTAACTTTTTTTTTTTTTTTTTTTTTGGAATATTACCTACGCGGACCTTAAGCTGAAATGCTGGTCCACCCACTGCTGGGATAAAAACAGCATCTTTTTGGTAAAAGTAACATCTCCAACACTAGTGTGGGGGATGCAACTTTTAGCTTCAGACATGAAAAATATTTACCATTTACTGCCAGTAAAGAATGGAAACAAAAATATGTACCAATTAGGAATGAAAAGTTGTGCAGTTCCTTCAGCAAATGAAGCTCACCAACACAATAGGCTAAATTACCTTACAATGTGTTTTCAGTAGTCTATGTTGAAGTTCTTAGCACAGGCTAACTTATCATATCATATACGGTATCACAGTACTCATTGATCTACAAAAATACCCGTAATAAAAACCTTTCGATATTTCACACGTAATATAATACCCGGTAATCTACTTCAACCTCCTATTGTTTACAACGATGCATGACGCACCACCAGCTGTTGAGTATCAATCAGCTAGACGGTACACGTGTTTTTCGAATCGTTTTCAGTTAAAAAACTGTTACCACGTATATTTTACCTAAACTGTGCCTGAATGAATATATTCTCGAAATAAATAGTAGTTTTGCTGAAACGTGATGTATTTTAATGTAAAATAGGATAAAATACATGACAAAACAAAGATCTTACCTAAGCTTCCGATGTTCAAGAGAAGTTACTCGTTTTTTAATAGTTTTTGGTTAAAATACTGTTATATCACAATGGTATTCTATTCATACGCTTGATATAATGCATTCACGGAACTGTAATATTTCTGCTGAAATGACATAAGTATTACAGTGGAAAGTGGGATAAAATCTTGACGAAAACAATGACTTTCGCTTTCTTACGTTCAAAAGATGTTACCTGTCGCTTTGCGATGGTTTTCAGTTAAAAACTGTTGTATTACAATAATATTCTATCCTATTGACTTGAATAAATACTACGATACCATATTTCTGAATATTTTCATTAAAATCCATCCAAATCATTTTCCTTGTCATCGTCTGCAGCACCAAACAGCTTCTCCCAGTCCTCTCCTTGAACAGGGCTAGAGGATGTGTTCTTCAAATCGTTTTCAGTTAAAAACTGTTACATCACACGTATATTTTACCTAAACTGCGCCTGAATGAATATATTCTCGGAAATACATAGTAGTTTTGCTGAAACGTGATGTATTTTAATGTAAAATAGGATAAAATACATGACGAAAACAAAAGATTTTACCTAACCTTCCGATGTTCTTGAGATGTTATTTGTTTTTAATAGTTTTCGGTTAAAATACTGTTATATTACAATGATATTCTATTCATACAGTGCTTGATATAATACATTCACGGAGATGTAATAT